ATGCAGTGGTAACTACAGAAATCCACAGATATTACAGTTCTTGTTCTTTTGTCACATGGTAGGATTATACTTCCATGCCACCTTGAAGACAGTCAAGCTATATGACCCACTTTGATCAATAAAAAATGAGCAGAAGAGATAAGTGTCACTCTAGGCAGAGGCCTTTAAGAGGCTATAAGAATCTATAAGAATCTTCTTTATGACCTACCACAGGGACCTGCCACAGAGACTGGAGATATTCCAGATGAAAAAGGCTCCAGCAGCCCAAGCAAGGAAAGACTAGAGCAGAACAAGAACCCTCTACTGTGTTCTTACTGAAGAAACTATTGGAATCTGGATAAGAAGCAACTCATGCTGTGTCATGCTGTACCACATTGTTCCATGGCCACCACTGGAGATGGAGCAGAGTAAGGGAATGCCTAGACCCCATACTACCAAGCCAGCCAGGAACCCAGGATCATGGCAAATGGCCCCTACATAAGCAGCTGGCCTGGAGGCTTATGTTCACATCCCAATGGCACCTCCCAAAACCCCAGGATCAATTGAACAGCTCACCGCCATCAAGACAACATCCTAGTTTTCCTAACAGCACAGTCTTGCCCTCCCAGTAAGTCTAACAACCTTGCCTACTTCTCCTCCTCACACTCAGCCCTTATCCCCACACACCATTCAGGAGTGCATCTCAAATTCCAACTGATTATGAAGCTATAAAGGACAAGAACGGACATTACTAGATCATTTATTGAGTCTCAGAATGTCCTCTTCTGTGCCAAGGAAATATTAGGGATCGAGTAGGGAATGGCAACGCAAGGGCTAATGAAATAAGCTACAGCTTCCCAAGCCCCAAAAGGTCATGCTTCTCTTGTTAAGGCATATCAAGTAATTCTCCTTGAAACCATTCACATTCCACCTGGAACCACAATTGCTTATCCCTGCAACATAAACATACAGGCATAAAACATTGGAGATTCTGGGACCTCTGTTAGAATGAAGACTCACTCCTACCAGGGACCAAACAAGGAGGCCCAATGCATAATCAGGCATAGTGACTGTATCTCTGAGTTCTGGTTTTAATTCTTTAATAAGTTGTCAAATTGACTCTGGGTAAATCATCCTGTGCCTCAATTTACATATCTGTAAATGAGGCATTCGAACTAGGTTAATGGCTCCCAAATTGAGCATGGTTAAAAATCACCTGGACCACTTCGAAAACAGAAAATTGGAAGCATCATCTCCAAAGAGTCTGAGTCATCTTGTTGGAGTGGGTTAAAGCATATCTTATTAACAATTGCCCGGTGCATCTTGATGTTACATTATGTCAGGGACCAATGCATTGAACAGTCTCTGGAGTTTCTGTGAACTGTAGTTTTCTGCCGGTTCTTCTCTTTTAACTTGAAATTGCATAATGGCTTTTGTTTTGACACACCCACTCACCAGTCCTGGCTTGTTGTGGAGTAGCTGTGACAAATCATTTTGCCTCTATAATTCTCTCTCTCATTTGTAAATGGTAAGTGTTAAGTAAATTAATTGCAAATATCTCTTCCAATGCATTCTATAATTTTGTGACCATTGAGGACACTTGGAACAGAGCTGAAAAACAAAAGCAAATATCCTTGATTCCCAGGATGCTCTCTCATCTCAACACATTCTTTTAAAAGCATGTAAAAATCCAGATCTATTTCTACAGCAGGGTACCCATTTCCTGCCTTCCATTCACAGATAGTTGTTGCTGATCTCAAACTCCCCTTCATGGCCACTGAGCCATGGATGAGTTGTCAAAACTGCTTTAGAAAACTGCTCTTTGGGAAGTCACCTAGGAGAAAAGGAAGAGAAAAGGCAGAATGATCACTTCTCTAAACAACACAGTCAGGCTTCTGGACAGAACAGTTGCTAAATATGCATGGCCTAAAGTTTCGTTTTAACTTTTTATGTTGGGATTTCTAGAATTCAGTTAAAAAAAAGAGAGAGAGAAATTGTGTAATCAAAGTGACTCACCAACTGAGACCTCAACTCCGGGTAGAACTAGGGTCCTGGGGCCCTTTGGAACTGGAATCTGACTCCCATCCCCTCTGACCCCTACAACATTCCACTCTTCTGGTTCATGGCAGGATGCCAGGACCTCCATTCTCTTGTTTCTAAGACATGTTTTATTTCTTCCCCTACAACAGAGACATTCCCGAAGTCTATTCTTACCATATATCTTTGCTTGGAAGCAATTTTAGGAAGAACTTTTACAAGAGACCAAAACCACACCCTGGGTCTCTTCTTAGCATGTTCTATACAGTACAACCACATTATTGGACTATTGGTAACACCTCGAAAAGCAAATTGTCAATGTCAGATAGCATTTGCAATAAACCCCATTTCCACATTTAAAAAAAAAACTAAGTAAGGAATTTGACACATAAAAAAGTTAAAAAGCTTGTGCTTTCTCTGACACAGATATTAACTAATATTTCTAGTATCCAAATTCAGACTCTCAACCACCATGTTATTCTGCCTCTCCGAGGACTGAGCTAAAGACACTTCTCTGCTCCTTTCTAGCATCCTAGCCTCTCTGGTCTCTGATTAGATCCTTTACAGGATCTAATTCACGGATGAATTAAGTTACAGAAGAGCTTAAATATTATTTAATCCAGAAATAACAACTACGTAACTATATTACATAGGTAGTAGCACCTATTATTGTACCTATGGCAGACATCACTAATTATTATTTTTTCTATTTATTCTTTTTTAATTTTATTTTTAATTTTATTTATTATTTATTTATTTGTTTGTTTGTTTGTTTTTATGGGTTAATGAAATCCAATAAGTTTCAGCTGTACACTTTAACAGTAAGGCATATATATATTTACAGTGTGTTCACCTCCCGTAGTTAGATATCTTTCTGTCAGCACATATTTAACCCCCTTTACCCCATCTACCTCCCCCTCTCCCGATCCCTTACCCTCTGATAACCACTAGTCTATAGTTCATGTCCACGAGTCTCTGTTTGTCCTGTTTGTTGCTTTTAGGTTTATATCCCACCTATAAGTAATATCATGTGATTTTCAACTTTTTCTGTCTGGTTTATTTCGCTTAGCATGATTATCTCAAGGTCCATCCAGGTTGTTGCAAATGGCAGTATTTCATCTCTTCTTATGGCTGAGTAATATTCTGTTGTATATATGTAACAGTGCTTCTTTATCCAATCATCTATCGTAGGACACTTCGGTTATTTCCATGTCCTGGCCATGTGGATAATGCTGCTATGAACATCGGTGTACAAATATCTTTTCAGATACAGGTTTTCAAGCCTTCGTGGGTAAACACCCAGTAGGGGGATTGCTGGATCATATGGTAGATCAATTCTTAGTTTTTTGAGGAACCTCCATACTGTTTTCCATAGTGGCTGTACCAATTTGCAGTCCCACCAGCAGTGTATGAGGGTTCCTTTTTCTCCGTACCCTCTCCAACATTTGTTATTACTTGTCCTGTTGCTTATAGCTATTCTGACAGGTGTGAGATGGTATCTCATTCAGACATCACTAATTAATCATAGCATTATAGTCAATAACCCAAGGTAAGACCTCACTGGTTGTTTATTTTCAACAAAACTTTCTGTTTGGCCACCATCAGTTTCACCTATTAGAATGGCTAAAATCCAAAAAGCTGACAATAGCAAATGCTGCTAATGATGCAGAGCAACAGAAACCCTCAATTGTTGCTAAGGGAATGCAAAATGGTATAGTCACTTTGGAAGACCATTTGGTTTTTTACAAAGCTAAATATAATCTTACCATATGATCCAGTGATCACACTCCTGGATATTTACCCAAGTGTGGTGAAAACTTAAGTCCACATAAAAGCCTGAACATGAATGTTTATAGCAGCTTTATTCATAATTGACAAAAACTGGAAGCAACCAAGATGTTCCTCAATAGACGAATGGATAAACAAACTGTGGTTCATACATATAGTGTGATATTATTCAAAAATGAGATATCAAACCATGAAATGACATGGAAGAAACTTAAACACATATCTCTTAATGAAAGAAGCAAGTCTGAAAACGCTGCATTCAATATGATTCCAACTACCTGACATTCTGTAAAGGCAAACCTATAAGTGAAAAGGTTAAAAATAGGCCAAGATTTTGTGAGGAGAGAAGAAAAGATGAATAGGTGGAACACAAGAGACTTTTAGGGCAGTAAAAATTGTATATGATACTGTAATAGTAGACAGGTGATAAAAGGGGGAAGACAAGGTCAGTGGTTTGCAAACCTAGTTTCTTCCCTCTGTGCCCTCACCCCCTGCCCTGATGTGTGCAAAGAAAGGGAACTTGGAGAGCTTTCTCAAACAGACCTGTTCTATTTGAATCTGCATAAAATATCGGGCTTCTCCATATGGTTTCACTTGGAAAGAAACGTTAGCGTCTAAATAAAATATTTGGAAAACGCCACCCTACAAGGATAGCGTGTGTTGTCCAGTTTTCATGCTCCGCGACATAAGATTCCAGGGCACTAAGACTTGAAGATTCTTGATTCTACCATTCTTTCAAGTCACCTGTGTGAGTTTCAAAGGAGCCCGACCAGTTTAGGATGTCAGGAACCTGATTCTGACAGAGAGTACAGGCAAAGCCTAGGGCCCCATTCCAGGCTTCCTGGGCCCTGAGGATGGTCAAGCCTTTGATTCTCTTCACTCCACTATGACCTCAGCTTCCACTCTTACTTTCTGACAGATCATTTCTCATTTCAAAGAAATCATAGCCCTTAACAATCTAGTGAGATCACTTCTTACAGTCTGCTGGACATAACCACATACCCTTCCACCTTTGCTTTACATAGTCTAAGCAAACAATAAAAACACCACAGCTTCCTTCTCTCCGTGTTTGGAAATCACCCCCAGAATATGGTGTCTACTCAGCACATTCAGAGTCTTACTTCATTGTTCCTTAATCATGATCCAACCCATGCTCTTTGTACCCTATAAAAGGCAGGCAGAATGTCCAGAGAAGCCAGAGGGCAGAGAGGTTGAGGCCAATTCAGAAACCTCCAACGCACACTGACACTTGCACCCTCACCCTCCACCATGAAGGACTCCGCAGCACTTCTGTGTCTGTTGCTCATAGCAGCCACCATCAGCACCCAGGTGCTTGCTCAGCCAGGTAAGGCCTCTCTATTTCTAAGGCTTAACAGTTTAGCTATTGCAGGTGCTAACATCTCAGCATGAGTCATCCCATGCTTGCTGCATGGCCTACATTAAAAGGATGGAGAAAATGAAACTAAGAAGGAAAATGAGAAGAGCCATCATGTCCCAGCTAGTCAAAGGCAGAGCCAGAATTAGATGCCCATGCCACTAAGACCAGACTAGTCCCATGAACTTTCCTGACACCAGCATTGTTTGGGAATGTGGCACAGAAATAAGGACCACTTCTCATTGTGGATGTGAAGGACATTTCAGGAAGTAGTTTGGAGGAAGAAACTATTGCTTAAAATTTCAAATTTTGGATTATGGTCAGTGTAGCTTCTAGAACAGTGGTTGTGTCAGGGGGACAAGGACACAGAGGCATCTCAGCATGTGACATGGGTTGGCTCTAAAGCCGTGGGGACAAATAGCTAGGAGGCAAGATCTTAGAACTTATTTTTCCAGTGCCAGAAGCTAAATAAAGAGGGGCCTCATAGTTCAATATAGGAAATTGATTCACAGGTAATATTTTATCTATGGGATCTGGAGTAAGACACTAAACTTGGGAGTGGTGGATCTTCGTTAGAACTTATGTATTGCTTTGTCTTCTGCCCTCACAAATGCATGCTTATGACACATCCTAACTGTCTCATTCTTTAAAAAATGTTTTTCAGATTCCGTTTCCATCCCAGTCACCTGCTGCTATAATATGGTCAATAAGAGGATCCACATCCAGAAGCTGAAGAGCTACACAAGAGTCACCAACAGCCAATGTCCTCAGGAAGCTGTGATGTGAGTAAACCATGCCCAGGTACCCTCAGACAAAAGTTCTCTCTGAGTTCTATACAAGGGAAGGAGGTCAGGATTCATGTCTAAATGAGTCATATAAATATACCATCTAATCAAAAGGGCCCTTTACCCCATAGAGAAATTAGTCCACAAAAAGGAATCCATACTCTCTCCAGGCTCCCCTTCTAAGAATTTGGTCAGATCATCCAAGTTACTTCAGCCAGGAACCTGGAGAGCTTCCCTAGGGGCAGCAAGAGTGAGCTTCCTTTGGGGGCCTCTTCCTCCCATCCTTCCCCCTTCCTCTTGTCCCTATCCAAACCCTTCACCCAGGAAGCAAGGACTGATCAGGTTTGGGGGCCAATGGGTCACACTCCTAGACAAAATCTTCAAAGTGCTCCATCTAATTGTGCCCTTTCTCCCCTACAGTTTCAAGACCAAGCTGGACAAGGAGGTCTGCGCTGATCCCAAGCAGAAATGGGTCCAGGATTCCATGAAGCACCTCGACAAAAAGTCCCAAACTTTGAAACCTTGAACTTTTACATATGTACTAAGAGATAGTCAGAGCCTGAGGAAAATCTTATTTATTTTCTCTCAACCTTCCCCAAGTGCAGAATGATATTATTTTATTATAATGTATAAAAAGAAACACTTTGGTTAATAATTTAAGCATATTTCTTAAATAATATTTAATCGCATTTAAGTTATTGATGTTTTGACTTTATCTGCCATAAATCCTAATGAATATAAAGTGCAAAATCTGGTGACATGTTTTCTTTTCTGTGAGTTTAATTAAGTTCATGGCAAGATGTCACTGTTCTCCCTCCTACTTGCCTGTAGTATTGTGAAGTCCTTCCATGGATCATCAGAGTGAAACACTTCCATATTTTTAGGAAATTAGTGCTTTTGTAAATGTATGCTCTCTAGTGTTGTTGAAATTAATATTATTAGGTAACTATGGAATTTTCAAAAAATATATAAATAATTTTTAACTACTTAGTCTTATTTTTTATGGGATAACATTTATCTGGGTGGGAGAAAATGGCAGCACTGGGTGGCAATTTGGGGTATAGGGGCCATCCTCCAAGAAGTCTTTTGGACTCAACCGAGGATCAAGGAGAACCTGGCAGGACCAGACCAGGCTGTTCCAGCCCTTTGGCTCGAGTCCCTAACATCACCTGCTCATTTAATCTTGATTCTCATATCTTTTGTCACCACACCTAACTTTGCCAAGTCTCTCTCTTGATCTCTTTCAACAATCTTCAAACTTTTCCATATAATCCCAAGTTTCCTCCATCTAATTGCTTCCCCAACCCAGAGAAATATCCCAGAAGTGAAACTTAATCTAAGAAGAAACTAGATGTCTATAACCTAGAGGTCCACTTAAGGCTTTCTGTTGAAAATGAGTCTTCAACAATAGGAAATGGAAAGGCTTCTTCAGAGCTGGTACAGGTGGGCAAGGAGAGGAGTGGGCTCAAGGAAGGAATCCCATCTGGATGAGTTCTGGAAAGACAGAAGAGTTTGGAGTTTTACAGCAAAGGTTGGGGCCAGATTATAGGGGCTCTTAAATTTCAGACTGGGAAGTCAGTCAATGAGTAATAAGGATGAACTAAAAGTTTTGAAACAGGGGAGAAGAAAAGCGTCACACATTCAGAGGCATGCATGAGGAAGAATAACCTGGTACCTGAGTGCAGGATAGAGTGTGAGAGGGAAGACTTGAGAGCAGATCACTGCAATGGTATAAAAGAGATGATGGGGATCTAAAGCAGGGGGCAGTTGGGGTGAGGTTAGAAAGAATAAGCCAGACAGAATGATATACTAAATTTTGTAGGAGGAGAACAATTGACCCAGGACGTAGACCCCTCTCTTATAATCTGCAAAGCAACTATGTGTTTGAAGGGCTGGCACCCTTCAGACCCAACGTGAATTTATCTCCATCACTATATTCTCAATCCCAATCCCAAGAACCTGCAAGCCTCCATTTAAAGGCATGAGACCTCTTGTCCTTAATTTTAAGATAAAAATTCTCTTGTACTTCGTGAGCATAGCTGGGTCCTTTTTCAGACACGAGGCCCATCACGCTAAGGCACAAAGACCAGACCCCTCATCAAGGGAAAGACAATTATTGTCTTGCTAACCCATCTCCCCAGGGCTTGTCATTGGTGATTGCGTGAAGATTCCACAATTCCAGTCTACCTGGAAGCATAGCAAGGCCAGAGACTTGGCTTCTGGTCCCAGTACTGACTCTGACTCCCTGTGTTACTTAGGGCAAGTCAATTTCTCTCTCTGGCATTAAGTTGCTCTGTACATAAATGGAGCTAGTGAGGAGCAGGAAGTGAGGGGATCTGACAGAAGACCTCATAAGTCCTCTATAGCTCTAAGAGCCACATCTTTTGGAAACTTGACCATGTCTCTTGGCTAAGGTAGAGTGGGGAAGCAAAGTGTCTAGAATTAAAAACATCAAGCCAAGGAGGAACCCTACCTCTTGGCAAACACCTGTAAGTCCAATATATCACCTGTCTGGAGATGAGCTTTCCATTAAGTCCAAGGTAGCACACCCAAACCTTAGGAGCAATAAGATAGCTAAATATCAGCTGGGTAAAAGGTACATTTCCTAGCCACAAAGTCTCCAACTAATTCTAACTTCTTTCTTCCAGAGTCTCAAGGCCAAGGTGGCTATAGAAATCTGGGCCCAGGGTTTCATGAAGTACCTGGACCACAAAATCCCAAAATCTAAAGGCATGAAGACTCACCCTAAATTGACACCAGCCCACTGCACAAGACACAACCCCTTTGTTTTCCCCGAGCTTTGCCCAGCCAGCTGCACTCTGGGATTATGCCATTACATTTCAAGCCACAATGAACCTAATGACATTAAACATAATGTCTTAAGTGATATGTCATCTTATTTAAGTTAATGATGTTTTATGCACCCAAACTTGAATATTAGTGTTTCTGAAAATCCATATCCTGACATTAACTGATTTATATCTGTGAGCTCTGATTTATTCACTGGTCAACTGTTGGCAAAGAACTGGGAAGGTCACTTGAGCTCACATACATAATCTTGGACTCACCTCTGATTTCTCCCTCTGCTGGGGCTGACAGTTTGCTGCAGGCTATGACTCATTTCACTCTCCCAACATCTGCTGTCAGCATCTCCTCACTTCTTCCTTTCTGCCCACAGGCTCCTCCTTGGGTGTCACCTCCTGTGAAGAGTTGGCTCAGCCAGGACATTTACCTGAGACGCAGAAGTGTAGAGAAGAGAACACTCTAGGTGACAACATTCCACCAATGAAGGGTGAAGGCAGATGTTTAAATGCTTCTGCAACCCTTCCTTCCAGCTACTGATTCTGAGAGTCATTCTGTAGGAATCTCAGATAGTCCCAGGAGAATCAGTCCCTATTGCTCAAATTGTGACCTTGATTAATGCCTACTTGTGTTAGTTTCTCCTCCTCCAACTCATTCTACTGCCACCTCAGTCCTGATCCCTGGGGTCACTTCTCCAATGAACTATCTGCACACAAGTCCTCGTTTCAGGCTTTGTCTTACTGATTGTTTTGTATAACCAATATTTATTCTTTTTGTCCTGTTCAATATCTGGATCTTAATGGACAAGTTTAGTGAGCCAGAGCCAGAAATTCACCTGGCATTTGGTTGACATTTTCACCAGGGCTAGGGCTGAGACCAGGATCAGGGACTCCCCCAGTGTATTCTTTGGGGCAGGGCTGAGGGTAGGACCGTGAATTCACCCAGCATGCTTAACAGGACTGAGTCCAAGAGGGCAGCTCACAGGTCAGGGTCAACAAGACTGGGACTGGGCTAGCCACATAGCTAAGGGAATGATGACATAAGAGGGATTTAGCAAATAAGGAAATGTATGGAAGATAATGAAAGCCAAGTCACTTACTGTTGGAGGAGTTTCCATAGAAAAATATGGAATGTTGGAAAGCTGGACAAAATCCTGTGGTATTGGTCTGTAATTGGAGGTATTTACGTGAACTCAAGGTTTTACAAGTAGATGATGATAGATAGATAGATAGATAGATAGATAGATAGATAGATAATAGATAAGATAATTGACAGAAATATACACATGGATCGTAGGATATGCGTATGTTTAGCATATACTCAACCACCACTTTTTCAAATACTGCCAAATATTTTCCAAAGCTGTTGCACCAATTTAAATTAAATCCTACTAGCAATGCTTGAGTTGTTCCACATTTGGTATTGCAACACTTCATATTGTCATTCTTTTTAAGTTATCTATTCTGATTAATTATAATTTAACACAATCTACTTAATTGTGGCTTAAATTCATATTTTACCCATGACTAATAAGGTTGAGCATCTATTCAGTGTTTGCTGGACATCTTCTTTTATGAAGTTCCAGTCTATGTCTTTAGTTCATTTTTTAGATTGATTAGATTTATATTTTGTTCATTTTTAGATTTTTTTTTATTATAAATTAGTAAAAGTATTTTCTATATGTGGAATAAAAATCTTTTGTAAGGTATAAGAATTGAAATAACTTCTCAAAATCTGTGATTTTCCTTTTCGCTAACCTTGAAGATGCTTTTCGATGAGAATAGCTTTTTAATTTTGATACAGTCAGTTTATTAATATGTACCTTTATGATTAGTGTTTTTGTTTTCTGTTTAAGATAACTTTGTTTAACCAGATGTCATGAAAATATTTTCTTCTATTATCTTTCAGAGACATTATTGTGATTTCTTCTTTGCTCTATGGGTTATTCAGATATACATGGCTTAATTTTCATGCTGTGGGGTAATAATTTATTAATTGGTTTTAATTTATTTCCAAAATAGTTAAAGAACCTATGGTATATGTTTTCAAACCATTTATATTCATTTAAATTTGCTTTGTAGTTCAGAATATATTCCATCTGA